CTTGCTCTGGACGAGGAACTGCAGGTGCAAGTAGCATATGTCACTTCCAAGCCACAGCATGTACTTGCTGGTATGATACCCTGCAACACTCTTCATGCGGTACATGTCTAGGATCCATTTCCTGGATAAATGGATAGACTTTCCTAATAAAGTTCTGCATGTTCTGTCTCATCTTGGAAGACCTAAACTAACACATATGGCCAAATTTATCCTTTAAAAATGTTCTTAAAAGCATTTGTGGAATACTGCTCCTCTGTGTAAACTGACAGTAGATTGGCATGAAATCTGAATTTCTTTGTCTGCTTTTTCATCATTCGAATCCCCAGGGAGCCCAGCCTTATTAACCAGGTCACCCCCTAGGCTCCTTGTCCACGCAGAGTTGCTCAGATAGTTCCACTTCCTGACAGTACTCTCTGCACCTGCTCCATCCAGTCTTTTCACACCTGAAGCCCCTTTCTGCCTGCACCCCGCCCTCGCCTCCTCCGCCTCGATGCCGGGGACGCTCCGCCCTACTCTTCTAGGAAAAGAAAGGAAATAATTCTACAGGAAATAATACAGTAAAAAACAATAAGAAGAGGAAGGAAGAATGTAAAATAGAGTAAGAGAAGGGAAGAAAAATATGAGATTTGAAATAAACTAAAATATTAAAAACTAGTGAACTAATAGGCACAAACTTGAAGGAAAGAAATGAATGTTAAAAAGCTCTACAGGAAAGGAAATAATTCAACATCTTCTTCTTCACAGTCTCTCCACCCCGTCAGCTTCCAGGGCACGGATGACTGAAAGGGTAGTGTGCCATTTTGAAAAATTACTCACTTCACATATTTGATTCTAAAAGGCACTTTATTGATTAGTTGTTGCTGATGTTGCTTAAATTTATCGAGATTTGCAGAGAGGCAGGCTCCCTATCACAACTTTTCTGTAGTTTTTTGGAAAATGAAGTAAGACTATTCAGAATAGGAATGATCACTTGTTCCTGAAGGAAGTTATTTAGTAACAGAATTAGGGTATTATTTCAAATATTCTTCACCTCTGATGCCTTCAGGATTAACAGGACAATAATGGATTCGATTTTGCTTTATTCATTTCTCAGCATCTCCCTCTTCATATCGATTTTCTCTTTTAAAATATGTCAATATATTCAAGATATATATGAGCAAATCTAACAAGATAGAAAAATAGTTTTCATAGCTGAATGACAGTAGATATGGAGCAAACCAGCTAAGAAATACAAGGCTATTTAACTTAAATTTTACATTAATGAAAATGTTAGAATTCATCTAGATTCAAAAGGGAGGAGAGGGACTTTCATTTTTTTAAATAAAATAATTCTAAAATCTATAACAATTTGTAGCATATTTTTACAGTTAAATGCATTCAAAATTTAAATGTCATTTCTGGTCTAGAAAAAAGGTGAAGTGGTAAAAAAAAGAAACAAATCTCCATTATTCTACCTTTTGCTTAGCAAATAGAAGAAAATTCAAATTTAAGCCCAAGCATACTCTTAATTAACCGTGATGAAAAGAAAAAGAAAATATTAAAAAGATTAAAGTCCATACATTATCCTATGTTGAGCCTCATGACCAGTTTTGATGGTGGTTACTGTAGAAGCCAGTAAAAGTTGTTTTTCATTGTACTAAATGTCCTTTAGAGAACAGGAGTCATATTTGGGGCTGAGTTTATGAATGGATACAGCTGCAGTCTTCCCTCCCGAGCCTGGCCCTCCCCTAGCGGGGTCTGGCATCACGGTATCCGGCACTGTTGCCCATCTGGAGTCATCTTGACATCTCCCTCTGTCATGCCCCAGCAGGTCCCGCTGACCTCACCTTCCAGACAGACATCTTCCACAGCTTCACTTCATCACTATTGCAGCGACCCTGTCTCTCGCCTGTAGCCCTGAAGCATCTTCCTAACTGATCCCCCTGCATCCACTGTTCCACATACTTTTCCCCAAACCTTATAGGGAACTTTTAAAAATACAGATCTAATTATGCTCTGCTAGTGCATCTCAAATAAAACCCCAAGTCCTGAACTGGCTTAGGGGACTCTCTATTGACCTACCTTCTGCCTAATTCTCCAGCTTCAAAAAGAGCTGTATTCTTTGGGATTAGGGTTACCAGCAGTGGGAATACATCGAAAATAAGTGGCTTTGACACAACAGAGTTTCTTTCTTTTGTAAATAGGCAGTCCAAGACAGCTTCACAGTCCTTCAGGATTTAAACTTACTTGATATTGAGGTTTTACTGTCCTTGCCACAGAGCTGCCACCTCATGGTCTAAGATGGCTGCTTCAGCCACACTGTTACATCTGCATTCCAGCAAAGGGGACAGAAATGGCAAGTCCCCTCCATGCGAGAACATTTTGTGAGGTTATCCCCCTTATTCCCACTCTGTCTTATTGGTCATAATCTAGTCACATGGCCCTACCCAGCTGCAAAGAAGACTGTTATGGGCAGCCCTGTGCCTAGCTGAAATCCAGTGCATTATTGTTAAGGGAAAAGGGAGATACATTCTGGGGGACCACTCAGCAGTCTCTATCACAAGAGTTAAATCCTTCCAGATTTTGAGTCAAAATGTCTGATACAGAAAAATGAAGAGATGGCACATAGCATATTATTAATTAGAAATATGGAGGCAGATCCTAGAGGAAATGGCTAAAATTATTGGGAGTGGTTGCCTCTGGGAGGCAGGAATGGAGTGCAGCAGGGGACCACATATGTACATTAAGCCTTACAGTACTATTTAATTTCTTCCAGAAAGAACATACTTACTCTAATAAAAATTACATTAGAAAATAGTTTTTTAAAACCCAGGCTGTGACCAGGGCTGTGAGTATATATAAAGACTGGACGAGTCTGCCTGCGGAGCCCTGGAGGTTGTGGTTTTGTTTCCCACCAGGTATCTGCCAGCTACCTCTCAGCCTTTGGTGACTGTGCAAAGGTGATGTTATACGTATGAATGTTGTCAGAGGCTCGAGGACCATACGAATCAGGTTCAAGACATTTAGCCACAGGCAGTTCCTCCGGTTTTTTCTATTATTAAATTAGGACACATGGGGTATAAAATATTGAAGAGGCATTAAATATCTTTGGCTTAGGCATCTTCCTGACCTAGACTTATTTATAATAAGCGTGTACAGGAGCGTTTTCTGACTGGCAGCAGCACCCCTCACATGAAACCCTTTCCGTCCTTGGATGCCTTGTGTCAGGAAGGTAGACGCTGTACATGGCCCCCATCGGGAGGTTGCTTAATCAAAACAAGCAGACGCCGAGGCCCAGAGTGAGAAGCGGGAGAGAAATAGAGCCTGAGGTTGTGCGATCCCAGAGGCTGGTAAGGTAATTCTTTATTGATCAAAAAGAAGAAAAAAAAAAAACCATTTTATTTAAATGAAATAACGTGAGACCTCCGAAACGATCACCTCTTTTTCATGAGAAATACATCAAGTCTTACAATTGCAAACTTTCCTGGGCTCTGTTTGTTAAATGTTGAGGCCAAGAGTTGTTGTTGATAATGAGAGACAAAGGTCAGCAAAGGAAAGCAATCACCGGGCTTGTATTTAATCACTTCTTATTTTCTCAGATCTCAGTCATGTCATTATCTGGCGTTGGTGCTTACATAACTTAATTAGGAGAGTTCAGGCAGTGATGGGAATAGGAGGGCGAAGTGAAAGGGTAACAATTTAAACAGATTGCCTGCAGATGCCTAGTATGGATGAGATGAAGCCTATTAAGAAACTAATCCTAAAAAAAGCTCTTGACATTGATCATTTGTGAAAAGGAGATTTTTTTTCCTTACCCACATATGTGGCTTTGTACACTTATGTCTACAAACCTTAAGCATTGGTACATCAGCTTGTAGAATTACTAACACCAGGCCACTTTGAAAATGCAGACAGTGTTATTAACTTTGGCAGGAAATGAAAATTTGGTCTTAATATACATGTGAAATTGAATTGTCTGTACCACAAAGCTTTGGAGATTACCCATGCAAAATGAGAAAACTGTCTAAATTTAAAATTGTCCTCAGTACAATGAAAAGTAATTTTGCAGACTGCACTTTTACTGCATTGAAATTCTTGAAGAGATTGGCTCTATTAATTTAGGCTTAAACAGAGGCTCTGTATCTTTTAAAAATGGTAAATGAGATGGAAAATGTACTTTAAGGAGAAAAATGAGTTTCTGGAAATGCTGCAGGCAGCCGCCCCCTGTGCCACATCTGAGTCCGCCCTGACACCAGGCCACTTCAGAGGGAAGGTCTCTGCACTGTGACAGGTATTTGGAATAAGGACATGCAGACAACAGCTCAGTTACATACAGCGGGCTTCATGAGGAGGATAAGAAGCAGACTGAGGTAAGGCCCAAAGCAAAAATCATTGGCAGCTTTTCCAGTAGAGTTCCTGAAGAAGCGGGGTTCTCAACAGAGAGAAACAAAATTAAGAAGGAATTGACTATTTCCCTGCCTAGGGTGATGCTGGGGGAGGGGATTTGGTTACTCGACCTGCCTTCTCAGGTAGGAAAAAACCCAAAAATCTATATAAGGAGAAATTGAATTTTTCATCCCCTGTTCTTTGAATTTCTGTAGCTCACAAGAACAAACATGTCTTGTTTATTATTAAGTAAATTATTATTTGTTAAATTAGTGACCGTTTATTCAGAACCATAGTTTATGACCTGTCATTTAACCATCAAAAGGAGTACATTAACACAGTAGCCAGTGTGCAACAAAGATTAATAATTTACTTGGATTTAGAGTTCTTAGAGGGCCTTACACTTTCTATTTAGAGTTAATGATGATGAAGAAACGGAAGCAGTAAAGTGTTTTCGCATACCTGGTTCTTAGAGCGGCTTGGTGATAAAGCTGAGACTAGACCTACGGTCGTCTGAACTACCAGACGGTTTACGTATTTATCACTGTGTATCAAAAAGCAACACTGGAAGCACCAAAATAATGCAGTCAGCTGCCCTTTTCTCATTTTTACATCATTTTCCTCTTGCTTTTCAGGTATAGCTGTGCTTTACTTACATCTCTATGATGTGTTCGGGGACCCTGCCTACCTGCAGATGGCGCATGGCTACGTAAAGCAAAGTCTGAACTGTCTGTCCAAGCGGTCCATCACCTTCCTCTGCGGAGATGCGGGCCCGCTGGCGGTGGCCGCTGTGGTGTACCACAGGATGAACCATGAGAAGCAGGCAGAGGATTGCATCACCCGGTAATCACGTTTCTCTGAGGATTTTTATCTACCTGGTATTATGCATTAGTTCCCTGTGTGTTAGCAAAAGAAGATTTTAGTGAATTTACTTTCCCCTAGCAATAAATCTTAGTACTGTCATTTAATCAATTCTCACATTATTCCTTTGTTGTAGTGAAGGCACAACCATTATAATTCCTATTTTATTGCGAGATATAAATGACACTGACACGTTCCAGATCAGACATCAGTTTCAGTAACAAACACGAGATCAAAAGCCTAATTATATGATTACTAATCCGAGATGCTATCCGAGATCAATACTCTGAAAAAAATGCAGTTCACTTCCTGTTGGGGGTTGAGAGAGGCCTCTTAAAGATATGCAAACTGATGCAAAACTTCTTTGTTTAAGATCAAATGATATGCAAAGCTAGTTTTTTATTTTTAATATAAATCAGGGCAGCCCACTGGAAGCTTGTGAATTGTGAAAAATTACCAAACTTTTATATTAATAAATTACAATTACTGCTTTATTAGAATTTAATGAATACTTTTTGCAAAATCCTACTAAGAAACCTAGCTGCCATGCAGCTCTGCAGGCATGTTGAGCACGCTAACATACAGGGAGTTACATTTCCAGCAAAGGTTTGTTGATTTGTTTAGTTATTTAACAGACTTTACTTTTTTAGTTTTCAATTTACAGTGTAATTGAGAAGAAAGATAAGTAGATTCCCTTTAGACCCCCTGTCTCCACACATGCACAGCCTTGCCATTATCAACATCCCCCACCAGAGTGGTACACTGGCTGCAATTGATGAACCTACACTAGACATCATAATCACCTGAAGTCCATAGTTTACACTACAGTTCACTCTTGGTGGTGTACATTCTGTGGGTTGGACATATATATAATAACATATTTCATCATGAAAATATCATTCAGATTAGTTTCACTGCCCTAAAAATCTTTTGTGCTCTGCCCTCCCCCCTAACCCCTGGCACCCATTGATTTTTCAACTGTCTCCATAGTTTTACCTTTTCCAGGACATCGTGTCATTAGAATCATGTAGTATATATGCAGCCTTTTCAGATTGGCTTCTTTCACTTAGCAATATACATGATGGTTCCTCCGTGTCTTTCCACGGCTTGATAGCTCATTTCTTTTTAGCACTGAATAATATTCCATTGTGTACCAGTTTATTTATTCATTCACCTATCAAAGGACACCTTGGTTGCTTTCAAGTTTTGGCAAATATAAGCTGCTATAAACATCCATGTGCAAGTTTGTATGTGGACATAAGCTTCCAACTCCTTTGGTAAATGCCAAGAAGTATGACTGTTGGATTATATGCTAAGAATATATTTAGTTTATAAGAAACTGCCAAACTGTCTTCCAAAGAGGCTGTACCATTTTGCATGCCCACCAGCAGTGAATGAGAGTTCCTGTTGCTCTACATCCCTGCCAGCATTTGATGTTGTCAAGTGTTCTGGAATTTTGTGCATTCTAATACATGTGCAGTGATATCTTGTTTCAGTTTGCCTTTCCCTCCAATATATGACATAGAGCACATTTTTGCATGCTTATTTGCCATCTGTATATCCTCTTTAATGAGGTGCCTGTTAAGGTCTTTTTGCCCATTTGAGTCCAGCAACATTTTAATCAATAACTGTCCCAGAGTTGACCATGGTTTTTGATTCCCACTATTCTTTCTTATAAATTACTCTTAGAATAGTATTATCATTACTGATTTCATTTGTCAAGGATCCTTGGTTCATCTCCCATTGTATGGTGATGTGTATTTCAGCAACAGGCTTTTGGCCTAAAATCCTAATAACTAGATTTTTCCCCCTTAAATTTTATTATGAAAAATTTCAAACATAAAAAAGTTGAAAGAATAGTGAATACCTGTGTATCTATCACATAGATATTACTGTTAACATTTTACTGTATTTGCTTTATCACATATCTGTCCTTCTATCCATTTCTCTACTCATTATTAATCCTTTTGGGGAGCTGCTTGTCAGAGTAAATTGCAGACATCAGTACACTTCCTTCTAAATACTTGAGTTTGTACTTAATTTACTAGAGTTCAGTATCTGGTTAGAGTTTTCTTCCTTTGATGTAAACTTGATACATAATGAGCTGTTTAAGTTTTAAGTGTAAACTTACTGAGTTTTGACAATTACATCTACCAGTATAACCCAAACCTCTATTAAGATCTAGAATATTTTCCAACTTTTTTTCCTGTCCCATCCTCTGTCTTCTTTTGAAATTTCAGTTACACATCCTTTAGGCCTTTTGATACTGTTCCACTGCTCTCTGAGACTGTTCTTTTTTCAATGTTTTTCCCACTCTCTGTTTTAAGATTAGGTAATGTTGATGTTTTCTCAGTTCACTTGAGAAAAAAGTGCTGTTTTTTGTTTTGTTTTGTTTTGTTTTTTCTGTTATATCCATTCTGCTGTTAAGCCCATCCAAGGAATTTTTTATTTTTAGACACTGCAATTTTTAGTTCTAGAATTTACATTTGATTCCTTTTTTCCTAATTTTTTCTTATTGTGGTAACATATATATATAACATCAAGTTTACCATATTAACCATTTTTAAGTCTACAGTTCAATGGAATTACTTACATGCCTGATGCTGTGCAACCGTCACCACCTTCCGCCGCTGTAGCTCTTTTCATCTTGTGAAACTGAATGTGTGCCCACTTCCCCCACCCCAGCCCCTGGCAACCTCTGTTCTACATTCTGTCTCTGATTTTTAACCACTCTGAGTATCTCATGTAAGGGGACTCATTCAACATTTGTCTTTTTGTGACTGGCTTATTTCACTTAGCATGATCATCCATGTTATAGAATACACTGTCACTAGATTTTTTTTTAAGATAGGGTTTGTGTCGTATTTAAGGAAGGATTCGGCCCTACTCTTGTTGTTTGAGCATATATATGCGAATTCTCCCTCGGCCCCCAATCTTTTCCCATACAGTGATATTTTCTTATTGTAACTAACTTTTTCCACTGGAAACTAACAAAAGAGGGGATGGAGGAGGATCCAAGGAACCTTGTGCTGTACCTATAATGATCTGTGAATTATACTAAAACATCCCCTGAATTGACATAGACTTCTGAATACCGTTTTTATACATGCCTGTGATACACCTGTCAGAGGTTAGAAATTATCTAGTGCAACTTAAAAACAAAAAATGTAGTACCAGTGTATTTTAGAGAAAAAAACTATGAACATTCCATTCCAGGACTGAGAAGCATTTAATATAAATCTGTCATTAAGCTTGATCAAAATCGCAAGTGAAACAAGACTGATTTCCCCAAAAGTTTAATTCATATATGTATCCCTTTCATAGTAATTAACTTGCATGAAATCAGCCAATACAAAAATATTTCATACCCATCTAAATTTGAAATACAGAAGCTACCTTTGTATTGGTTTTGCATAGCCAGTTTCAGACCATCAGCCACCTATCTGCTTTACAGGTTCACAAGAAAGTCCCGTTGAATGAATCTCTCTTTTAAGTATCATAAAACTAAACTGTAGTGATCCCAATATTTTGTTTGTAATGCCAGCCTTTCTCATATATGCGCAACCAAATAATACTAGTTTGCTGTGTGAAAAATGTTAATAGATGTTAATATTTGTTAAATACCAGTCGTGTATATTTAAACAGACTGGGGGAATTAATTAAACAAAGGTAAATACCTAACTTTACGGTCTGCCCAGAGTCTTCAGAGAGTCTGAAGAGAAACTCCACCTACTCTAAGGAGCAGAGTTTGTCAAACGTGTCATTTAGACAGCACTTTTTCCTCATGACATCTTAGGGCCTATTGTTCTAAGAAATAGCCTTTGGGAGTAGTACCATATAGTAATATTGGTTTATTTTAAAACACTCTTACGAGTAAGCTTCAAGTTTTTTATACCTTGGTAATAAAGGTGTTTTTGTTATGTCTTTTTAAAAATTTTTATGACACTTTAACAATTTTTTTTTACAGCCAGTAAACTTGTTAATGTTAAAAATATAGAATGTGAATTTACGATAGGAAAATACATTGATTGTGGCCACAGCTTCAATTTTTTATATTTCTGGATTTCATGGCAGAAGAAAAAGAAGAAATATTTGTAGTTTCACATTTTCTCCCTTTTAAGGAAAAATCTTTGTCTTTTCAATTCAGTTTCAGGAAATCTAGAATTAATTGATGTCATTAAGGAAGACAATAACCGAGGTCTCGTCTCACTGTTAACGTCTTTCCTATATTTCTTAATATTGTAGTCTTTCAGACCCAAAATTTTGAGTTTTAGAAACCAAAGGGTCTTGGGGGATCATCAAGACTCTAATCCTTAGACAAAGAAACCAAAGTACAAAGAAATCAGTGTTTCCCTAAGATAAAGGTTCTTAACTTTGGGGCCCCGAAGGCTTCCAGAGGTATAGAAAATGCCCAAATTGCATTTATACTCTCCAAAAGGAGGCTGACAGAAAGAATGAGGGAGAGACAGAGGGAGGAAGGGAGGTGAGGAGAGAAAGAAATTGTGTATGTGTGTTCAGTTTGTCCTGCAGTTGGCCTGAGGGTAGGGTGGTAAATAGCGCTAGTTCTTCCTGGTGCCTGATTTTTGTATAGTCGTCAGTTTTTACCCTTCGTTTTATGAAGAGACTGTTGGTGCCACTATCCAAATAGAAAGCGCTCCCTGTTTGGTACCCAGTTAAGTGACTAACCTGACATATATAGTGCTTCAGGGCCAGTACTCAAAAGTGATGAAGAACTTTCGGCTTTCTGGTAGAAAATTATACCCTCTCTCTTTTGTAGTGTGATGAGTAGGAAAAGGAATTTTTATTTAAAAAAAAAAAAAAACTCTCCCCAGTGACACCCTGGGGAAGTATTGCTAAGAGTGGAACAGAATTATCCTGTTTTATATGTCTTTATTCTTCCCTCAGATTGGTTGCTATTAATATCAACATATTAAAACAAATAAATGGAGCTGCATGATGTGCTTCTGGGTTTGAGAATTTCTGAAAACATATAAAATAACCAGTATGACTTATAAATGCTGCTACTTTTCTTTTTGTCTTAAGAATATGGCATGTAAAACATGAATTTAAAACTTCTACCTTTAATAATCATCAGACCCAACTAATGACTTTTAATGATTTGAATTCAAATCCAGAAGAAGATGGAATTCATACTTACGTTTTACCCTAAACTGTAAAGTATTGTTTTAAGGAGATGCTCTGAACAATACTTTATTTTCAAAGATTTGAAAGGTATTTGCTACCTACTTTGAACTTCTCAAATGCAAATATGTTTTGGCTGCAAAATAATTGAAATGCTAATTATTGATATATATTGCCACCTAGCGGTAATGCAGGTCATAATAGTGGCAAATAAAGGAAAGGTGTTTTCTGATACAGTGGTTCAAACATTTTTATTTAGACGAGAACACCATTGGAGTTAATGCAATAATTGTTCTGAGAAACTTCCATAGAGTAGTGTTTGGTTAGAAAAATTCAGGATAATTTCTCTTTGAATATTTCTTTTAATCTCCTTTGCAAAAGTAAATCAAAAGTGCTTTTTTATATCGAAATTCTATGGTTTGATACATTTACATTAAAACTTGATTTAAAAATTCTCATTAAGACTCTGAAACATTCATTCTGTTTACTACAACAGATGAATTTATATCTAATAAACAGATTTTATTTTCTTAAGGTCTCAGTGTTACTGACCTGCCAGTTGGACATTTTTTTAAAAAAAGAATTTTTCTTAAATGTTTTTAAGTTCTTTAAAAAGATTAGGAGTGTGTGTGTATGATACTGAAGTAGAAAACAGAATGGACCATAATTCTTACCATCCAGATGACCCTGTGGATATTGGGGCGGGGGGAGAGTCAAGGTGTTACAAGAAAATTAAAAGCAATCTCTTACCACTGTGTTCCTATACCTAAGATGACACTGTTTGTTCCACTGTGAGTTTACTGCCTGTATTCGTAGAAGAAAAAATATGCATGAGCCATCATTTGCATACTTAACCAATTTGATTGAAATGCCTCCATTTGTTGAGATACAATATATAGAAAAATTTAACTTTGTCAATAATAACCAGCCATGCTTTTCAAACCCCTCTTTCCTGCTTAAGGACCCTTTCATAACTTCTTCTCCATTTGTTCATAACTGTTGTCCCCCGTTAGTCTCTAAAGCTATCTCACTCTGGTTATTAAAACACGTCTTCTTCACAATATGAACACTCACAATATGAAATTGTGAGTGCTCCCCTGGTCTCCCCATAGATGTAAGGAAGTGGTGGGAGGCGTTGGGAGGGGACAGCTACTTGCTCTTTTCCAACTACCTTCCCTTTGGAGCTCGCTCTTCTCACTGCTCCTGTTGGTGTAGAACCTAGCGGTAGCAGTAGTCAGGTTTTGTCTGCTTGCTTGCCTGTCTTTGGTTTTTGTAGACATTGGTAGCTTCCAGCTGTTGGAGGTAGAGACTGTATACCCACCACTGCCCAGTTATAACCTTACCACTGAATCTGCTAAAATGAAAGCCCAAGCTGTTGACCAGCTTCTGCCAAATGTACAAACATTGATTGGAAAGGAGATACAAATGCATGCAAGCGGCCCCCAACCTGTCTCTGTTGCTCAGAAGAAAGCCACACCGTAGGCCCTTCGTAAGTCTCACCCATCGAATAGTGGTAGAGCCTGTACCATCTGCCGGACCTCCCGCTCGTCTTCACCGCGCGTTCCACCAGTGAAAAGCCGTTTTCTGACATTCCTTACTGCACTTACTAACAAGTCATCTGGTGTAGATTTTGATAAAGTTATTTAAAGTATAAGTATTGTACCTTTGAATGTTGATTCCTGAGTACACTACTTTAAATATAAACAATCACCTCAGGGTGTGATTTTTGATACTTTAAACGTTAATTAACTATGCCTAGTGTATAGACTAAAGTTAGATGAGATATATACACAGGCGCTCTGTATACTTAACTACTTTTAAGATAAATTTCCACACAGACAACTTGGGAGAATTTTTCAGTTGGAAGGGACCATTTATTTTATAGGTGAGAAATTTGCAGTACAGGGGTGAAGTTGCAAGGTTAGTGCCAGTTTAGTGTCATAAGCTGCTTGATGACAAAGCCATTCTTTGATATGGCTAATGACCTCTCATAATTATTCTTTTCTAGAAAATCTAGGGCTTTTCCCTCATACTTTTCCAGGGTATTAATATCATTTTATCAAGTTTCACACACACACAAAAAATAGTTGTTTTAATAAATGGTGTAACATTTAATTTTAGGATAATTCAGGGATAACTGAGATGTGCTTTCAAAATTTCATGTGATTAAAAAATCTAAAATGGCAAGGACATTTTCCCTACATATCTTATTTGTTGCCCCCACCCCCCCTCACTCCCCACATACACACACATAAAAAAAGGGGGGAGGTTCATTCTCAGTTCAGACTACAAATGTGGTCGCTTTGCTGAGCTCATCTCCCTCTGTGAACACTACCTAATTTCTGGGTACCTGGGGCTTCTTTTCTGGGTCCTCTGGAAAGAAATCTGGGGCTTCGGTTACCGCACTCTGCCATGGCTGTGCCTGCATCTGAGGCCAAGTGGTGGGGAAGCCCGAAAGAGCAGCAGCGGAGGCTCGCCCTGCCCCCCGGGGACCGCAGCTCCCCTGAGCCGTGAGGAAGCCCCTCACTCAATGCCTCGGCTCCTGTGGGCCCCGGTCGACCTCACATCCTGCCACCACCATGTGCCTGGGGTATGAGAAAACAGAAAACAGAAAAAGGAAAATAAAGAAGAATGAGGTGTTTCACCCACTCTCTCATACTAGGTGTTCCCTTTGCCATTCTTTCTAACCCAAAACTACAGCGTTTCTTCTGGGGCTCCCTTTCAGCCCCTTGATGCCCACTTCCAGGCTGTGAGCTGTACTGAGCTCCAGGCAGGGACGTATCAGCAGGGGAATATGGGGAACTCACCACTAGCTTGGCGCTACTTCACCTGCTCATCTTCTTCCCCATTCTGCCTGCTGCTTCTCAGAGTCCTCAGATAGCTGCTTCATGCATACTCACCAGGGCCTGGAGCAGCAGTTAAAGAGAGAGGAGGCAGGGTGGAGTGTGCTTCCTCCTTCTTCCCTAGAACCAGAACCAAAAATAACGTTTTTTGAGAAGCTAAACTGAATCTATCAATAGGTAACTAATAAAGTACAATACACCCATTCATTGAAATACTGCACAACTGTGATAAAGAATGAGACTGTCTGTATGTGCTGATATAGAATGGTTGTCAAGATGTATTGTTGAAGAGCAAGCCACAGACCATTTGGGGAGATACATTTATAAATATGTATATTTAGGTGTATGTGCATAAAATAATTTTAGGAACATATAGGAAATTGTTAACCGTGGTTTTCCTGAAAAGAAGTACCAGCAGCTGGGAGACCGGTCCCATTGCGCCATTGGCACGTAGTCTCCGTCATGGCGGACCCGGCCGCCGTGCGTGTAGACACTTCAGGTAGGCCTAATGACACATGAAGCAACAAACCAAACAAGAAGATAGCGGGTGCAGCAAGCATCTCATTTTATAGAAGTAGGTGGCCCTTTGAGTGTGACTCAGTTCTTTCTCCAGACTACACAGTTCTGAGCCTTTCTGACCCCAGCTGCTAGTCTGCGGGCAGGCCTCCAGTGCAGAACGAGGGAGCCCCCAGGGGGCCTCGGCCGTGGCCCTGTGTTCTTTCATTCCCTGAATATCTTGTTTAACAGCTCCACTGTGAACTGAAGAAAAGAAACTTAGTCAAGGGTTAAGCTTTGAATCCCGATTATCACTTGTGCTCTGGCCCAGCCCACTTAATATTTAATGTATGATAACATATTATAATTATACATTGAAAATATTATAGCATTCCCAGAAGTGGGACTGCTGAGTCAAAAGACAGGTCCATTTTTAATTTTTTGAGGTATCCCCATACTGCTTTCCACAGTGGCTGCACCAAGCCAAGGGAACCCAAAACACTAATTCAGAAGAACATAAGCACCCCTATGTTCATGTCAGCGTCATTTACAGTCACCAAGATACGGAAGCAGCCCAACTGTCCTTTGGTAGATGAGTGAATAAAACAACTGTGGCGCATTTGCACGATGGAATACTACTCAGCCGTGAAAAAAGAAAAAGAAAATTTTACTCTTTGCAACAGTATGGACAGACCTAGAGACCATTATGCTACATGAAATAAGCCAGGCGGAGAAAGACAAGCACCATATGATTTCATTCATATGTGGAATCTAATGAACCAACTGAACTAACAAGCAAAATAGAGGCAGACTCATAGATGGAGAGCAGGCTGACAGCTAAGGGAAGCGGTAGGAGGTGGAGGGACTGAGCAAAAAGGAAAAAGGACTCATGGACATGGACAACAGTGTGGTGATTTTCAGGGGGAAGAAGGGAGTGAGGGGACTAAATGGTAATGGAAAAAATACAATAAAAAACATTAAAATAATAATATAATAAACATATGTCATGCTGTATGTTTTCCAAATGGCCATATTTTTTTTTTAGTTTATATGACTTCCTAATTCCTTTCAAATTACCTTAAGCATATATTTTTCTTCTCAGGCTAATTCACCTAAATAAGATTGATCCTCATGTTCCAAATGAAATACTCTATGGACGAGTGGGCTACATTTATGCTCTTCTCTTTGTGAACAAGAACTTTGGAGTAGAAAAGATTCCTCAAAGCCATATTCAGCAGGTACCATGCTTTTGTGCTTTTGGGGGGTCTTTCCAGGATTCCACTTACCATCTGTCTGAACTGTTGGTTTATTTCTCCTGTTAGCTATCCCAAGTAGCTAGAAGTTTATATTGACCTCTGAAGGACAGGCATGGTCAGAGAAGCAATAGCTTCATGCTGAGCGCTATTGGGAACACTGTAGAGAGTGACTCAGTGAGAAGTTGAGCCCTTTGAGAGTGTAGTGGCCCTTTCCAAGAACACGGGGCCAGATTGCACCTTCCAGGCGCAGGTATCTCCTTTGGTGCCTGAGTCAATTATGCATTCCTTCCGCAAGTGAATTCTTGCAAGCCCTAGTGAGAAGAGTTCCAAGATCTCCCCTACCCTCCCCTTTTTAGACAGAGTATAGTCACACCCATTTCTCTGAGTGCTGAATTAAACTGCGCCCTTCCATGGCTTAAGGCAGTATCTGATTCACCACATTCCCAGTATTTATGCAAAAAGGTCCTTACCTCCACTAAGAGGGTTTTTACTCTAATTCTCTCGTTATTTTGTTTGGCTTTCTCCCTATAGATTTGTGAAACAGTCTTGACGTCTGGAGAAAACCTATCCAGAAAAAGGAACTTCACAGGAAAGACTCCACTGATGTATGAATGGTACCAAGAATATTATGTGGGGGCTGCTCACGGCCTGGCAGGAATTTATTACTTCCTGATGCAGGTAAGAGGTGACAGCGGCAAGACTGTACCCTGCGTTCCTGCCTTTACTCTCTAGGGCAGAACACGGGGCTCCAGCTCTGTTTTTTCATTCTGTCAACTACTGCATCACCCCCCTTATAATGACTGGCCTAGACAAACAAGAGCAATGTTTGCCAAGGTGCATTTCAAATGTACAAATATAAAAGGCACTGTGCTTTGAAATGACCTTGGTTTGTGGATGACCATGCTTGTCTACCTAGCTCCACTTGCCCCGACTAAAGTGTTCTAACCTATACCTCTGTATGAAGTGCCTTCTGCTCTGCTCTTCTCTTTCAGTAAATGTCTTAAACTAAGAATGTTATCTCACTTTGTAAGTTACAACCCACTGAAACAAATTCCGGAAGTAAGACCAAAATCAATAAAAAACCAAATGAGCATATGTTGCCTAAGGCTCACTTAGAGAGCAAAGCTAAGGAGCCTTTCCAATGGATTTTGTGTAACCTACCCAAGAAATAGCTGAATAGGCTATGCTCAACAATTCTTCAGATCTAATACTATTGGGGAACGTCAGCCAAAGTCAGATCGACGAAGGACAGGTGGGATTCACTGCAGCCAGCATATTCTGAGAGGGGAGGTCAGAAGAGCACTTCTCTTGGGAGCATCATTTCTGGGGGCTTATTTAGCTCTCTTTAAGGAGAAATTGGCACTTGTGAATAAGAATTTATGGCAAAAGAAAATTGATTTTCAATGGTAGCAAAGGTGTCCCACTCACCTTCCCGAAATACAATGTGGCATAAAGAGAAGTGTTTCATTAATATGTTCAGCATGAGCGCTTCGACATACATACTACTAGCTGGTTGAGTAGCTGGCTATAATAATGCAAAATCAATGTCAGACCTGCCCTCTCCCCGTAACTAAACAATGACAATGATGCTGGAAAACTCAAGGTTATTACTGCTTTTAAATGCAAAGTCACACTTTGAGTTTTAATGGTTGTAGGAGACCAACTGTTGTATTTATTCTATACTTCTCAGTTAAGAGTTTTATAATTAGGGATCTCAACAGTTTAGGCTTAAATTTCTTTATTTTCTGACATATACCCTCACCGGCTTCCTATTTCCAGAAATAAATACAGAGTCTCTAAAGTTTTCAGGAGAGTTCACATTTTCTGAAGTCTTAAGATAAGTTAGAGTCACACATGTCAGTGACTGAACAACGACATGACCTTTCTATTTCTCTAATTTTTATTTGATTTTATTTTTGTTATTTATTTATTCCCAGAGAGAGGAAGGGAGAGAAAAAGAGAGGGAGAGAAACATCAATGTGAGAGAGAAACACTGATTGGTTGCCTCTTGCATACACCCCAGCCAGGGGCCAAACTTGCAACCCAGGCATGTACCCTGACTGGCAATCAAACCAGTGACCTTTCGCTTTGTGGGATGATGCCCAACCCACTGAGCCGCACAGGTCAGGGCAACCACATGACTTCTCATTGAAGTAGATCATCAGGAGCATCTTGTCCTCTGCCTCCTTTTGTCTTCTGTAGTAAGAAACCTGGAAACCCAAGTACTGAGTTTTCCATTGGCAGATTATTATCTATTAAAAATTATTTAATTTTTAATCCTAAAAATTCATTCCAGGAGATGCCTACGTGTTAGCATAAAGCAAAATATTTTTTGGCCATGTTGGGTAATTTCTGCAAATATGAGGAGAATGCATTCACTCGACACCAGCATTTTATACTGAGCTTAAACAAATTCTTTGGATGATGTGAAATCTACATGTGCCCTAAAGCACTTCATGCATGTCAGTGTCTGAGAAAGCCTGACTCCTGCCACCACAGCTTCCTGTCTGTGCTTCAGACCACTGCCCTGCCTCCTCCCCCCAGATTCACCGCCTGTGGGACAAAGGCAACACTTTGAACTTGTTTAAAGAAGTGAGCAGTGCTTTGAATTAAGAACAGGACCAAAAAGAGAAACTAAAAATTATATCAGAAATGGAGGCTCATATGCGCTATGTCAGTGTGTCTTATATCTGTACATTGTTGTATCAGAATCATCCTATATAAGTATCGGTTCCAAATCCTCTGCAGAAAGGCTTGATCGAGAGACACACAGCAGTTTGGAATCTAGATTCCCTGTCTCCTAACTTGTTAGCATCCTCTTCCATTGGAAACATCTAAATAAATGTAATAATGAAAGTTGCAGTTGGTGTGTCTCTGCTTCTCTTTCTGGGCTTTAATGTATGCATAAGGTGGTAAACTTCTCTTAACACTCACTGTCTCAGGAATTGACTTAGGAAAATTATTTATATGTATGCAGATAACAAATACTGAAAAATAATAGGGGCGTAAGGCCCAAGTGCTAACTCATAGCCTAGTTGTAGTTTGCTCCAGTAGGTGAAATAATTATATTGACTCCAAAACTTCTTAATGACTTCCAATTCCTTTTGGTCATGTTTTCTTTATGGTTTAAAACTCATTCCTGCAGCTCAGGAAGATCTCTTTGCTTCAGCAGAACTAATAATCCCCTTTCTCATTTCTAGCCCAGCCTTCAAGTGAGCCACGCAAAGTTACATAGTCTGGTCAAGCCCAGCGTAGACTATGTCTGCCAGCTGAAATTCCCGTCTGGCAATTACCCTCCTTGTGTGGGCGACACTCGCGATCTGCTGGTCCACTGGTGCCATGGTTCCCCTGGGGTAATCTACATGCTCATCCAGGCCTACAAGGTACTGTGAATGGTCCCATTTTAGAAATAGATGAGAAAATACCCAGTTCTATAATGTCAAATGAGTTTTATGCACAATTAAAGAGCAATAGACAAATCACTTGTTAGACCTAAGATCACTTTTGCTAAATGGATTGCAGTTCATCCTCACGGTACCCATCTGTAGCAGAGCAGGCACTGCTTCATAGAGCAGAAGCCTCCTCACTGGCAAGCAGAATAGCCAAGATTACAGCATCAGTGGCAGAGCCAAAGTGGGCACTCCAGGAGCTCAGTTAAAAAATAGAAGGAATCTACCTCGCGCATTGCCGCTTGGAATGTAAAATGGTTCAGCTGCTGTAGAAAACAGTTTGGCAGTTTCTCAAAAAATTAAACTTAGAAACAACATATGATCCAGCAATTCCACTCCTAGGTATTTACCCAAAAGAATTAAAATCAAGGCTCCAGGCAGACTTGTACACCAGTGTTCCACAGCAGCATTTTTCACAAGAGCTAAAAAGTGGAAATAGTCCCAACTGCCCATCTGCAGATGAATGGATAGGCAAAATGTGATATATACCTACAATGGAATAGTATTCTGCTATATGAGAGAAGGAACTTCTGATTCACATGATAGCATGCATGCGTGAACACTGGTAACAATATAAGTGAAATAAACCAGATTCAGAAGGACAAATACTGTATGATTCTACTTACATGATGTTATGGTTACTATGAGGTATCTAAAATAGGCAAAGTCAAACAAAGAAAATAGAAGTTACCTGGGGCTGGGAAGTGGGTACAGATTTAACACTTAATATGTACAGAGTTTCAGTTTGGAAATAGAGAGTAGTGATGGTTATACAACAGGTGAATGTAATTAATGTCATGGAATTGTGTATTTTAAGTGATTAAAATGGTAACTTTTATGTTATGCATATTTTACCATAATAAAAAAAATGCCAGTATCACTTCTAAAAAGCACGCTGCAGTAAAGATATAATGAAGATTTCTATGTCTATTGGTTCCAGATCTACAAATTTCAAATCTACAGACTGGCATCGCATATCCTAAATAAGCTTTTAGTATATCAAAGTTTACTTTTAGAAACTTGAAAAATCTTTTAAAAGTGGCTTACTCTATTTTTAAGGACTCTATTTTAGTTTGCAATGAGGTATTTAAAATGTCTACTCAGAATATTCCTCAAGTCTTCGGTCAAGAGATAGGAGTCGACAAAAGATTGTAAAGGTGTATCTATTTCTCTTACAAAGTTGCAGTGGTTGATAACCAAATAAGTTTTTATAATCAACTTTATAAATAGTTTCTCCTTCAATATGTAAAGAAACCTCTTATAGTGAAGGGCATCGTTGTTACCAAGGAAGATAGCATGTGTTCTTTGGGAAGTGTTTAATGATAATAGCTTTTGAAGTAGAATAATGCTCCTTCACCAATAACACCCAAATACACAAACACACATACACATAAAACCTAGACCATGCCCACGGTCTGGGCCAATGAAGTCATCCCCAGTTATTTAAGAAAAAAACCAAACTAGTGAAGTTCAATAATTTGTTCCCACTGATGTAACACATCTCTGTGACTCTAAAGCCCTTACCCTTTCTTGCCAAGCCATTTCCCTCTCTCCTCCCTTCCCCCATCTCCCCGCCTTTCCTATCAGGGAGGAATATCAATAGAATTTTCTTTCCTGTCCTTTGAAAGAAAACTGCGCCCCTTGATTCTGCAGGTGTTCAGAGAGGAGCAGTATCTCAATGATGCCTATCAGTGTGCCGATGTGATCTGGAAGCACGGGCTGCTGAAGAAGGGGTACGGGCTGTGCCATGGCACAGCGGGCAATGCCTACGCCTTCCTGACGCTGTACAACCTCACACAGGACATGAAGTACCTGTATAGAGCCTGTAAGGTAGGAGTCAGAGCTGGGGAAAGAAAGCACTCCCCTGGGCGCTGTAGAAAGGCTTCTAGTTAATCTGACTTCATTCATTCATTTGTTAAACGTTATCTATAGGACAGACACACACAGTTATTTAAGAAGAACCTTCAAAACCATTCAATCGAATTAGCTTTCTTTTAAAAGGACATAATTCTACTCAACAGCATTTATGGGAGAAAGAAAAACGGAGGGTGGCTTTATCCCTGTGTTTCCTCGGTGCCGGCCCTGGAGGTGCGTGGCGCCAACAGCTCATAAAGCCCCTCAGTATTTCGCTCTTTCAGGCCACCTTTTTCTCTGCACTGACCCTTTCCTCTGTCTTGAAGAGAGTACTTAACTTCTTAGAATAATTCTTAGGGACAATCTCTGTCAACTTTTGGGGAGTCTTTGGAAGAACTCACAATGGTAATTTAACTTGGTCTCCTTTTCAGTTTGCTGAGTGGTGCTTAGATTATGGGGAACACGGATGCAGGACACCAGACACCCCCTTCTCCCTCTTCGAAGGTATTTTCCACCCATTACTTAGTTGCCTTACAATATCAGCATCTACTTCTCTGCTTCGTAGTTAACATATTTAAATCAGAGTTTTATCAACAACTTAATTTTATAATCAGTTCTTACACTACTACTTTATTTCCTGATACAACAACCCAATATGAAAAATCAGTTAGCACATGGACTGCCACAGACCTAACGCTAAAGGTCAGAATGGGGCCTGCCATTACGGGCCCAGGCCCAGGCCGGGCATTCCGCAGACGCCGTCCTAAATCGTCTCAGCCAAGACATACAGGCAGTATCCTCATGTCCCAGATGAGAAGACAGAGGCTCAGCCCCCTGAGTGGCCCACGGTGCTCACACAGGGTGAATGGCAGGCTGGGCCTTGTACTTGTCTGGCTTCACTTGTCTCCCTGTCTCCTGTCTTCCACTTGGATGAAGCAGCTGAACACCTCAATAGCGATCTCCTCTAATAATTAACTGCAAGGAATATAAATGTAGATTGATGCCCAGTTCACTTAAATCATTGCCACTAATACCAGAAGGTTGTTGATAGTACAAAATAAAGCCACTCTCTAAGATGGAGTGCTTTGGTATATTAACCGTTGCCTCTTTCTCTTGCTCCAGGAATGGCTGGAACAATATACTTCCTGGCTGACCTCCTAGTGCCGTCCAAAGCCAGGTTCCCTGCGTTCGAACTGTGAAGGGCGGCCTGCCCCCTGCAAAGCACTGCATGACCCTGCCTCTGTGTCAAGCCTGAGCTAAGTGCTACCGTTGCTTTTCTAGGAAACAGAGTCAAGAGTGGACCTCGTTTCGTTGATTTTTTTTCATAATTTGTCTTTAGTTCATTTCCTTTTTTTTCATCTTTTACTTTTATTTTAAAATATCCAAGGAAATCTTTTAACTTTAACTTCACTTTCTTCCAAAAAGGAAGTTGGGCAACAGAGATGAAAATTGGAGGGCATATACATATACACAATTTGTAAGTTGGAGGAAACCTTACTCTTATTTAACAAGCTGATGAATATAGTCATCTGTTACTGTTCTAAAAACGTTTACAAGAAACTCCCGTTGGTAAACAAAGTTACATGCACGATGGTGTTGGGCGTTGCCCTCTGCCTCTGCTCTGCTGTATTTTTTCTCCAATGGGACAGTTTCATGCCTTTGCTTTTCTCTGTGGTTGATTATAAAAGGGAACAAAAATATAACTCTGTGCTTCAAGGACAAAAATTGCAAGAGGTACAAACTAGTTTAGGGACCTAAATGCCATTTTTTAAATTCACAATGCTTATTTAAACTAGAGATAAACATACTTTGAAATTTGCCTCTTTTTGTTAATAAAGCATCCAGGCTATAAGCCAACATTATCATCAAGGATTTCCAAAATTCAGTGTTGGTTGTGAAAATTCTGAACCGATGGTTAACCTCTAGATAAGCTAACAATAAGTTTATTGTTTTTTCTCAAATAAGCTAGTGCGTTTTATAACTATTTATTTAAATCTGTTTGTTCTCTAGAATCAGCATAAGATCAGGAAAGCAGTGTTCTGGGTGCGACCATGTTGTCACTGAGGGTCTGAGTCCACCATGTCCGACGGACCTTCTACACTCTGCCTTGTGTTTACTTACTTGGCAGTGACCCCGCTTTGGTGCTTGCTGTTCGGGGCAAGCCATGTTTTCCTTCCCAGCAATCGGTCTGGACACTGGCCTTTTCCCTGGGCAGTACAGCACTCTGCTTCAGTTTGAAAGGAGGGAGGGTGCTATATATATCGCCATGAACTTGAGGGGGGAAAGAAAGCACTAAACTCTTGACAGAAGTCCAGGATCGTGCTTAGAACAAAGGTGTCTTGCCTTTTTGCATATGTTAGGCTTAATCTTCTTCCATTTCTGAGCACTCAGAATTGGGTATTTATAAAGCAGAAGTAGAATCCCCGGTATTTCAAACCGGTACAAATATTTTCAGTCATCAGCTTCTATTCCTCCTCATCCCATCACTTCCTTTCCAGGCTTGTTTTGTTTGTTCTATGTTTCGACTGATTTCAGAACATTTTGCAGCTTTAAAAAAACAGGGTCTAAGAATTTTAAATGTGCTCCTCTCACGGCTCCCTCAGTCATAAGAACATGCTGTTTTATATTGGAGCTTTGAGCCAGATCCCCACTGAGTGTGCGTGTTGGTTCCGGCAGGTAGCAGCCCCCTATTCTTCCCCACTTGGCAATTGAAATAGCTGGTAGTATTGGAAATCGGCTGACCCTTTAAAGGCTACGGACAATAGGATCTAAAACAACAGCTCAGAGCCCACATCCTAGGATTAGCTTGTCCTCTGTGACTTGTGCTAGGCGGGGACAACGTCGTCCTCTCAGGTTTCTGCAGAGTTGCTGATAGCTGTGTGCAAGCTCTGTCTTTCTCATGAACGTTTCAGATCAGTGGTATCAGCACTCACAGTACAGCTAATTTGCCTTTGGCCGGGTGTCCAACTTGAAAGAGTAAAACCCATTTGGTTTAGTTCAGTGTCTTACTGTCCTGTGCAATTAGAGTTACTAACTAAGGGAAAAAGAACAAAACACATTTTGTCTTGAAATTCAGAGACTTGATCATAGTGCTTCTCCAAACATCTTGATTAATTTAACCCCAGGAGGACTTCAAAACAAGAAGAGCATTTTGAATAAGATTCTTGTTAATATTTAAATTACAGTTTGACTCCTGTAATCCATTATCAAATTCTTCAATACAAACACAATTCAGGTACCATTTCTTTGGGGGGGTGCCTTTTTAGGACTTATAAAACTGACAGGATTATATATGTGCCTTTTTTTATGCTTAAGAGCAAAGAAAGTCAGTAGTATTTTAAACATGGGCAAATGCTGTGAACTAAAACAGTACCCTACCACCGTGCTAGGAACTGAAAGAAACTTTTACACTAGTTGGCATAGTTTTAAAAGAAAGAGGAATCATTTCAGCTGTATTTCTGTTATATCATTTTCCCCTCTATATTGTTCTTTTTGGTAAAAAGCCTTCCCGAAAGGGAACTCCCAGAAGGCTCAGTAGTGTCTCTTACATCCATGGAAAGCCTAGGCAGTCAGGCCCCAAGAGCTTCCTGAGCGGTGCCTGTTCATCCTGTCTGGGTGTCCCTTCCTGCGGAGACGGAAAACTGCGGCGGTTAACCTCCCACCAAAGGGAAAAATGCCAACAGTATCATAGCTCCTTCCATCAGTCCCACCGACCTTTGGTCTCACCCAGGTCGGCAGTCTTTAACCCTCAGCGTCATTTGTCTCCCTTTTCACCTTTGATGTCAACTCCAGTTATTTGGCATCAAAAGCCTTCATGGTAGATAGAGTGTTAGGTAAAAGTGGATCTAAGGCTGTTTTCTCTCCTATTACCGCTTCCCTTTGTATCTGCATGGACAGAGATCCTCTGCTCCTATGTCCTCAGGTGAATTTGTGTCTGATCTTAGGATGCCCTGCCTTCTACCAGCTGATTTTGAAATGCAAAATGTGAAGAGTGTACATTTATTTATCTATTCCTTTGGCTACTAGAACTCATCTTCTGTCCTCTGTTACTCATACTGAATCGAGCCCCTTCTGCTTCCCCTAAAAGGTCAGAGCACCCCATTTCTGTATTGCTAATCTATAGAACTGTTTCTCCTCTATAGGTATTAAACAAAGTGTTTGGGGTATTCAGGGAACTCACTCTAATATTATATTGCCACTTATCGGGAAGGGCTGGGATCATATTTATTTCTATGTTCTATAAAGGATTTGACTTACTGGTTCTCAATAAAATTTTATTAGGACTATATATAGTCATGTGCTCTTTGTTTACTTAAATGATGGCTTTTTCTCAATTACACATTCCCTAGTGTTTGTTCCTGACTTTTTCTTCATTATTGGTCAAACAAGATTGCAATACTTTCTGAAAATAGAAATGTATTAGAGAAAAATACTTTTAACTGATCATTATAGATTAGGAGGAATCTACAAGGCTTTAAGCAGAGCAGAGTGTTATTCATACGAGAATCTACTCTGTGATTAATAACTAAAGGCCTAATTCTAGAAATTGATTTCCTTGCTGACCAATTCTGAAAGAAACTTGGAAAAGAGGAAGAGATTAAATGTGGCATAATTATAAAATGTATATGCAGAAGTTGGAAAGGAGTTCTGCTGAATCACCTGGCATGACTTTGTATCACTAACTTTTGTGACATAGCTATATAGTGTCACTTAGCACGACAGAGACCTGCCAAATTACAATACTTGTTTCGTCCCTGAATTAGATTTTGTCATCAGGTACATGTGACTAAAATGCCCTTGGTACCCCTAGTCTATTGTCTGAATGGCTCATAATACTGAAGATAAATTCACATTTTTATTTGGCGTCTTTGATTGAATGAAGGTATGGATGGTGGTACCACGTCCTCAGATGTGGGCAGAGGCCACCCAGAGGCTGTAAGGGGGTGCTTGGCGCGTTCCCGCTTCCTCTACACAAGCTAACATCGCAGCTGGTCAGGCCAGCTGGCACTGTTCTCGGCTTCGCTGCTGCCTCGCTCATCTTCCTACCAGAAGGAAAAGAATGACAAGTGCATTAAGTTGCACCACAGTTGTAATTTCATGAACAAACAAAACCTAAAGAAGTAATTTGTCTCCTGCAACTTACCAATGGTAGTAGGTTAATTTTTTTCCCTAACTTTGCTTTAGAAAAGACCTTCCTTCTCCTATACCCTGAATATAATAATAATATTTATGTCATTTCTTTTTCCCTGGATAGTTCCCACTGTGGAGTGAGTGTTATTAAAAGTCTCATGAATTCTCTACTCTTGCAAACATCATTTAAACTAAGAAAAGCCTAACAGTCAGTCCCCTGATGATTTACTTTCTCATCCAAACTCTCCCTCTTCCTTCTAAAGCTGAGGGTCAACAAACAGGGAGAGAACCTTGGCTTCTTTGCAATGGAGAACACGTTGGCTTCATCGGGCCCATTATGTAAACTATTCAAACACTATTTTCCAGAAGCCTGTGCAAGTGCATCCTTGGGGACTTATTTGACAATTTTGTGAGTAATGGGAGAAAGCAGCAAACACAATAAACCAAGAGATGCAATAATGAGAACAGAGAAATGGATCTTAGCAGCACCGCTGCTCATACTGAACCAGTTTAATTTCTCATTTCAACATTATGTTAACCTTTCATCCACATGCAAATTACAACCACGGTGACATTAAATCTGCAGCTAATGTTCTATCACTCTACAAATACGTATTAGAGAAAGCATTCGTGAGGTACATAGTCATTATGCAGGGAAAGGCAAAATTCTTGATAAATCCATTTATAAAATAGTGTCACAGTTGCCTAATTTCTCTGATGGAGTTGGGATATTAAGAAAGGCACTAGTCACCCCCCAAAATCCTGATGTGGCCTGCTGTGAAAGGTGATGGTTAATACTGATGTCTTGGGATTCAGCATTCAGGAATGAACGCGCACCCCCTCGCCACTATAATCCAAACTGCTACCATCTGTCTCTCAGGCTGCAGACATGCCGCTTTATTTAACCATGCCATGAGCAATATTTTAAAACCATTGTATTCCCTAAATTCACTGAACACGTGTGTGTTTGTACGGAAGGTTCCTGGGGGCTTTGGGGGCACCGTGTGCTTGAACAGACACCCCTACTCTTACAACTCGGGTGGTGAAGAAGACAACTGATGAGATGAGCCATCGCAAGGAAATGTATTCTAATGTTCCTGTCAGCTCCCTCCCACTCTTTGTTCCACACACTTCAAGAATGCCCAGGCCTTGTGTGACCTCAGGTTTGGGGCTGTATGTGGAGATATTGGAGTTCATAATCCTGCTGGGAGGAGACCCTTTAAAAGCCACTCAGCCAGCCCAGGAGCACTTTCATTTGGACCATCTTAGAGATGGGTGAGGTGGAGGGAAATTTGAGGACAGAAAGTCACTTGCTCGCCAAATTATTTCCACTCAGTTAACTTCTCAAAAACTCCTACCATTAGCATTAATGATTTCAGTTAAATTCGTTTCCTTCAGGAGTCCTGTTAAAATGCAAATGTTTTCAAAGAGATAGTTCATCAATCTGCTGTTAGTCATTAGCACCTTAATAACTGGTTCATCGCCTACATAGTAATTTTCCTGAAGAGCTTCAACCCAAACAACATGAACTGCACTGCTAGAGTAGCACCTCACTAATATTAGGAAAAGATAACACCTGCTCACAAAAGACTGTTTAAATCTGAAGATAAATATAAACAAGTAATGTCGATGTGATACGGAACCTGAACAAGACTGGCTTTGGGTAAGTAATGGAAGGAGAAAGAAGTATATGAGAGTCGAGGAAACCTGTTTGAAAAACAAAAACATTGAGGTCGGGGCTTCTCACTCTTGTGCATACAAATCACCTGGGATCTTGTGACACTGATTCTAAAATGCCGGCCCCATGGGAGTCTGCATTTGTAACAAGCCGACAGACAACGTCCATGCCATTGTCCATAGATCTTACTTTGAGGCTGATGGGACTAGATAACCCAGCAGTGGAAACCTGACTCAGTAGAGGAGAAGGATGGAAGGTCAGGAGCTGGCTGATAAAGCTGAAAGGATAGTTGTATGTGAACCAACGCACAGCACTAGGAGCGAGAGCACAGCCAAGCTAGAATGACTGGCATCTGAGTTCTTATGACACAGTTTCACTTAATGTCAAGGCAAAATGGTCTTCAAGTGACCAGTGTTCTGTGGTGGTGATTGTAGCAAGTGAAAGAAACGGTCTTGGAACAAGTAAGTCTTTATAATTTTAATGGGAAAATTACCAAGGATTTAGGAACTTTTTCAATCCAAAAGTCATATGCTTCTGATAACATGAGAATCCTATGAATATATCTATACTAAAGAATTAATTTGAGTCATCTGGAATCCTCAAGGGTTGTATGAGGAAAATTGAACACCTCTGCCCCTCATTTAGAATTTATGAGGACACATTGCATTATTAGCAAGCCAGCCAACTTTTTAAAGGTTTTTTTAAAAACCCAAAAGCAGTTCAGTCTCTTTTTTTTTCCAATTTTTTTTTCTTAGTATGTTCCAAGTGGTAATATACACTCAGTGTCATTTTTCCTAATTGCCATCATCTATTTTCCATGTTTCCTAAATGAGAGTTTCATAAAGTGATACAGGTCTGTGGTCTCTCAGAGGTCATTTATCCAGGGACACATGAGTGCGTAAGAGCAGGGCTGACCCAGGAAGCTTGAAACTTCATTAGAAATAGGAAACACCCATTAGTTCTCCTAAACTGAAAGGCTGATACGAGTGTGGTCCTATTCCCGGCCACATAAACATGTCCTGGGTGCTCTGCACAAGGAATCGATCTGAGTGTAGATGGTTCACATGACCAGTGCATTTTCTGCCACTTCTAACAGTGAATGCGTAGCATGTGCTGTTTTACATTTCACAGTTAAAAACAGTGAATTTCATTCACATTTTATTAAAGTGCATTGAAAGACCCTCTTGTAGATCCAGCTTTGACGGCCTTTTCTTCTGTTTTCTTTTAAAAAGCCGGTATTTTTTCTACCACTCATGGCTGCAAGTTGCTCCTTCACCTGAATGTCCTAATTCAGTTACCAACTGCCTACGTGCTCAAGCCAACAAAGGTGAATTAACGTCCTCAGCCTGTTGGTCCTCAAAGTGCAGTTTCTGGAGCAGGGACATTAATTAACATGACTTAGAACTTGTTAGAAATGCAAAATCAAGGGCCCACTCAGGATCTACTAAATCAGAAACTCTGGGGAACCAGCAATCTGCTTTAAGGATCCTTCCAATGATTCAGAATACAGTCAAGCTTGAGAACCACTAAATTTTAAAAAAATAAAAATAGGTTAACATTTTACGTTCTGGAGACATTTAATTTACAGTTTGCTCTTTTCTTGTATTTTTAGAACACACACATATTTGTACGCCTATGAAAAATCCCTAGTACAAAGTAAAACTGTGCATTGCCTAAGGGACAAAATCAAACTGCTCAAAGATGCTCTTGGAACAATGAGTACAGCATCACATCTTGCTGCTGAAAGAGGAGGCCCCATAGAGAGAATACTTTCTGAAATAATCTGTCTTCCCCACCAGACCCTCTGCTCCTGGAAGAAGGGGCCTGTCCAAGTACTGGCCCCACTGTGTATATACAGTGTCCAATACAGAGAGATCACTCAGAAAATGTTAAACCACCAAAAGGAAACGTGGTTCTCCCGGCTAGAGCAATGGACATAAAAACCTTTACTTAGGTTTATTACATGCTGATTAATGATCTTATGTTTAGCTTAGTTCTATTTTCTATCTCATTTAGTACAGCTTTGCTTGATTTAATTAATAATAACCATCTAGTTAGCAAAACCTGAGCATTACTGAGTTGGTAATATAATGAGAAACAGATTTTGTCCACCAGATGTCAGTAGAGCTCAGTTTAATAATTTCAATCACTAATGAACTTGAAAAATTAATAATGATGATGGGAAGGAAAATACTTGCATCCAGAAGAGCATTTCTCTGTTGACATTTGAGGAAATGGCATCTACATCAAAACCACCTAAGTATTCAAACGTATTGGAAATTCTGTGAGTATTAACTTCAACCATGGCATTAATGGCCAATCGATTCCTTCCACTTCAAAGTTTATAGCAATTTAAACTGGATGTCAGGTTATTGTTAACTAGAGCCAAAGTCCCAGGGGATGGGGGGAGTGCAAGACTGGATATATAAGATTATTCCATGTGTGTTATTTATGACGCCAGGTGAGGCTTTTCTGAAGAC